CTCTCGGTCTCGGGGCTGGGTGGGCTGTTTGTCTTGAAGGAGGATGCTGAAGGGAGCCTCCTCGACTCAACACGGCTGTTGCGTATTGACCTCGCCCTAGATAAATGCATATTGAGTTTATATAATATAGAAGTGAATTCTAGAAGAAGAGAAGCAAGAAGGGTGGGACCACATTCATCCTTGGGCAAACTACTGAAGTAATTGGGATTATATCTGAGATGACGGTCTCCATTTTTTAAAACTGGAAATCGAATCTTACTATTTCATGTCTTGCATAATTATTAAACAGGTATTAACACTGTATGTAAAATATATAATTTGGTTCAGGGCTCTACCCAGCTGCTATAGATGTTAATGGGGGGAAAAAAAAAAAATCATATTGGTTAGTTCTGTGAAACTAAGCTTAAAATTCCCTTTTGTATAACAGTCTATGAGCAAAGACACAAAGACTTTAAAAGTTTATTGTTTCATGCTAATGTTCTGGTAAAAAGTAAGATAAATGTCCTTGGAAGATTTTAGAATAGGCTAAACTTATTGCAATGTGAATATTTCTGCATTTCTAAATGGCTGCTTTCCTGCAAACATATTTATGATATCAGAAACTACTTTGATCTTGTTAGCGTACCATACTTTCACCCTCCATTTAAAGTAAAGGCATTCTATATTTGTGAATTACAGCCTTTTAACTTTTAGTCAAAGTTGACATCTTAACATTCAGTGCAACAGCCTGTCAATGAGGTTCTCTTGTGGGGTTGTAGCAGTTCCCATCATAGCATCTTTGTGCCTGTCACACTGTAATGAGGTTACTACTTGTCCCTGCTTTTGTTTCATGGCTTTACTTGCTCCTCTTGCACACCTCTCTTTGCTATTGAGATCTACGAAGAGTGATGGGAATAATTACGAAGAACCTGATCCAAACCCTTGGAGTAAGACTCTTCTAAGGACTAAGAATCAGCCTCTTCCAGACTTCAGCTTAAGTAAAGAACTAGCCTGCTGAGACTCAGATTCCTTAGCTTCAAGCTTTTTTTTGGTCTCTGTGGCCAAAGAAATCAGATGTGGAAAATACCTCTTAACTGATGCTCTACAAATGTTGTTCCCAACAGCTTTTTTTCCTAGTGTGGTTATGCCAGTCCAAATGTAAAGTGACTGAAATAGTGATCAAAAGAGGAATTCTGGCTTCCAGTTTGTATAGCCTTGCATTATGACAGTATCCCTCTTGCATTGTCTGTTTTTTTCATGTTGTTAACTGGATTTTTCCTCTGTGATTTCCATTATAACATTAGCTGTTATGTAGTCTTACCTGAGAGACTAATAATTATTTCCTATTCTAATTGCTTTCATTCCTCTCCCAAAGTCACCCAAGTCTTGAAGTGTACAAATTCCTCAGGATTGATGATATCCTGAAGTAACAATTTTTGCAACTACAGACTTTTTAATAGTAAGTAATGTATGTACCAGGAAATGTAATTGCATCTTTACCACCATAAAATACATGCTGTAGCTTCTAGGACTTCTATAGGCTTTGAGCTTTTAAGTTTTCAAAAATGCAATAGCTAAATGAATGTATTTAATATTTATTATGCATTTTAATATAAGCATTTAGATCTAGAGCACCTAAAGTGAACTGCCTAAATCAAATGTACCTTTTACATTTTTTTTCTTTGAATGTTTTATTCTCTAGGTTCCAGTCAGGGTTTGGATGCCAAGCACCTATGGAAATAATTCTATTGTATTTCAACTACCTGTCTTCAGAAAACTCATGGTTAGGAAGTTTAGCTGAAACATACACAATTTGTACGCAAGTTCCAGTTGTTCTAGCTTCACTGAATGACTCTGTAACTGTGTCAGTGTCCACTTGCTGAGGAATTGTTCCACATCATCTGAAAGGATTAGATACCCAAACTGAATATATGAACCATCCAATGCAGCTGGGGTTTTTTTTTGGTGTTTTTTTTTTCCCCCCTTCAATAAATTTTTCCCAATAGACATTAGCAGAAAAAAAAAAATGCTGCATTTTGAGAGGAAATGCTAAGAAGTTTTACTGAGTGTTCCACTTCTAAAGTATGTTTATGGTGTATTTTCCAGAAGAAATATATTTTTGTTAATGCCATCACTCTATTGACTTAAAAAAAAAAAAGTTAGCCACCAGGGGTGTGTGTAAGTTTATACATATCTTGTCTGTGGATATGAAAAGATCTAACTATCTTGGAGTTGTGTAGTTATTGCAGTTCTCTCTAAAACTATACTGATGAATGGGAAAAAGACATGCCTTTTTAAATAGGTTTTTATAATTATGGCATTCAAGAACTAGACCAATAGTCGTCTTGTTAAATCTCCTCTTGACTCCAAAGCAAGCTTTGATTTGGCTGTAATGTTCATGTAAATGAAAAAAGATGAGCTCTGTGAATCAAGGCCAAAGTGAAGAGAAACAGCAGCACAAAGAAAAGAATCAGGTGAGGGAGGACTAAGTGATTTTGCTTGTTGAGTCTGGATTGAAGACTTTAAAACAATGGTGGGTTTTTCATGATTCAAAAGGTTTAAAAATAAGAAAATTCTTGTCAAATAAAGACAAGATTTTTTTTTTTTTTTGAGGATTTCTGATTCTCCAGATTAATTAAAATTGTTCAATGCCAGTCTGTAGCTGGTTGTAAAATAGTTCTAGAAAAGAAGGCTTCAACTTCCAGCTACTTAAAACTAAATGGAGCAAGTCCTGGCTTTTGACAGAGGTAACATTTCTCATGAAGCTTGTCTTTTCAAGTCTTTTTTCTTCCACTAGTTAACCACGCTCTATCTCCATTTCTTAGAAGCATTGTTATGTATAAAGGCAGAATACACCAGCAGCCTTGCAGAATCACCTGAGTTTTTTATTTCCTTGATTCATGAGTTTTAATCTCATTTCAAGTCCTGACATGTGATCAGGTGGAAATTTATTCATTTTGATAAAAATGAAAGCTGGAGGAGAACTCTGTTCCAATAGGGATCCATAGTTACTTCTTCTTGTTAATGTCCGAGTTCAATTTCTAAAAACAGTTTTAGGGTTTGTTTTTTTTTTTTCTTCCACACTGTAAGGTTTGGGTATGGTACCCTGTTTCCTGACCTGAGTTTTAATAGTACCATTGATCCTTTTCTTTTTTTCCCCTTGTCACTCTTAGCATTGTTGAATGAAGCCTTTCAACATTTTGAACACTTGCAAACGTGAATGCTGGAAGTGTACCAGACTGCCACTAATAGAATAGTTGAAATGATTTCACTTAGAGTATAAATAGAGTATACTCAAATAGAGTATAAAATTGTTCTTCTAACAAGCAAAAATGCCAAATGTTTGAAGGAATTAGATTATTGTTGGGCTTTTCTGGATTATCCTCTTTATGAATAATGAGTTAATCAATGTTCACTGACGCCAGTGGAAACACACCTACTAATTTCAGTGGGTTCCACATTAAGGTTGTAAACTTCCCAGTATTATGGCCAATAATTTTATGAGAATGGGGAAGGGTAAATGGAGTTATGGAAGGCTGGAAATAGTTTGTCCTTAACAAGCATTTCATGTGGAAATTTTTAATTGACAAAAACATCAGATAGAAGATGGTGAGAAAATCACATGTTGTGAGAATTATGAGCACAGAAATGGCTACCACTTAGCTTTGTCCTTTTATATTGCCATTGCTCGTATGTAATGAAAACTCTAAATATTGATCAGAAATAATAGTAAACCCATGGTAACATTCACAGTGTAAAATATATTTTTCAATATGTCTACTGTATATGATTCTGCAGACTTCTGATAAAACTCTTAAACGGAATTGCGCCATTTTAAAAATTTTTTTTTAAGTTAAGGAATACGGTTATATGTAATGAGTGATTGTTTATTTTGCTCATGAATGCCCAAGAAGAAATGTCACATCTGGAAAAACAAGATCACAGTTAACTGCATCTCTCAAAGTGAAAACTGAAAATTTTATATTTGCAACACTCTTGTGGCACTGGAGAGAACACTGTATCTTCCAGCAAAAGCACGGTGATAGCACTGAATAGAATATTTCACTACATCCTTTAGCAATAGCATTGAATACAGTATTATTTCCTCCAGCTGTAGATGAGTACAACAACAAGTAGAATACTATGCCACATATGAAGACGTGATCTTGATTTTTGTTCCTACATTCTTAGTTTACTTTCTCCTATGTGAAAACACAGCAAAATGTTATTGTTCAAGAATTGGGAAAAATCCCTATGTAATGAGAGATTTTCTTTTTATTGCTGGGCAATGTGAATTGTAGGAATGAAGCTCTATAGTAATTCTATTAAAAAAGAAAAAAAAAAGCTTCAGGACTAATTCTGTGAACTGGCATCTGTTTTATCTGATTGAAAATTCTTCTGATTTGTGAGTGGATGGGTGGCAAAGTAAATAGTTTAAAGAGAAGCGTATACTTCTTAAAGTACCTGGATTTTAGGACTTTAAGTCCCTGCTGCATACTGAATTGTGAATATATGCAAATTTTGTACAAGTAGCCAAAACACAAGTACATAAACTTTTTGTATTGTGCAGTGTTTTTCTTCTACGGCTGTTCTTTGATCTGCAAATTTTCTGACACCTCTCTTTCTTTTAGTCTTCTCTGTCTCCCCATGTTTGTATCCCAAGGGATAGAGTGGAGAGTTACGTCATTTGGATTTAGGTAAAATAGGAAGTTGTAGCTTTGAGTTCTTCAGATTTTTGAAGAGAAAATTATCTGGTTAAATGTTGTGGTCGTATTAGATTATTTTCTAAATAATAAATCAGTCTATGGCTGAATACTTGTATAAGCCTTTATAGAACAATAATTTTTATTTAAATACTTTTTACATGCACCTTATGTTATAAGCCTTGGTCTTGCAATCACTTAAGCACCTGAGAAACTTCACAGTATTACCAAAGTGCTTCCAGGTCCCAGATATATCTTATTTTATTTCACTTTTCTAGTACTCTGCATTATTTTAATTTTATTGTTTTCTGTCTGCAGACATCCTGAGCTTGATACAAGCCACCATCCCAGGCAACCAGGTAAGCCTCCAGATCCCGGACCACCAAGTTTAAGTAAAAGCAGAACAGTAGACGTGCTGAAGACAGAACATCGGGCACCTGGACGGAGCCCTTCTTCTATTAGTCTAAGGGAATCAAAATCCAGGACTGATTTTAAAGAAGATCAGAAGCCAAGTATGATGCCCAGTTTTCTCTCAGAAGCCAATCCATTGAGTGCAGTCACTTCAGTTGTGAACAAATTCAATCCTTTTGATTTGATATCAGATTCAGATGCAGCCCATGAAGAAGCCGGTAGGAAACAAAAAGTTACCCAGAAAGAGCAAGGGAAACCTGATGAGCAGAGGGGCTTTGCAAAACATGCAGCTCAACAGCAGTCTCCAAAGCCAGCTGTTCAACAAGGGCCTGTCAGACCTACCCCCCAGCAAACTGAGTCTTCCAAAGCAGTGCCTCAGCCGCAGCAGCCTGGGGAACCAAAGCAAGTTCAGAAACCAGGCCCTGGTCACCCAGCAGACTCTAAGCTAGAACAAGCGAAACAACCACCCCAGCCGCGAGGACCACAGAAACCTCAGCCCCAACAGTCGGAACCAACAAAGCCCGTTCAACAACAAACTTCTGCAAAACCTTCACCAGGCCCAGCAAAACCATCACCGCAGCAACCAGACAATGCTAGGACGTCATCCCAAGCACCACCTCCCACAAAACCTTCATCGCAGCAGCTAGGACCTGTAAAACAACCGTCTCAACAGCTGGCATGGCAAGGAGGTCCTGTAAAGCCATCTGCCCAGCAAGCAGGGCCTTCAAAACAGCCTTCTCAGCAACCTGGACCTGAAAAGCCATCTGCTCAGCCAACAGGACCTGCAAAACAACCATCACAGCCCGGACCTGGGAAGCCACCTCTGCAGCAAACAGGGCTTGTAAAACAAGTGCCGCCACAGGCAGGGCCTGCAAAACCGTCTTCTCAGACGGCAGGGGCCACAAAGCCCCCGGCACAACAACCAGGGCTTACAAAACCACCAGGCCAGCAACCAGGGCCTGAAAAACCTTCGCAGCAAAAGCAAACTGGTGCAACGCGACCCGCTGAGTCCGCCCCAAAGAAAACCTTCTGTCCTCTTTGCACAACCACGGAACTGCTGCTGCACGCTCCAGAAAAGGCCAATTACAGCACGTGCACACAGTGTCATACTGTAGTCTGCAGCCTGTGTGGGTTTAATCCTAATCCTCATCTAACAGAGGTGAGTAGTTTTTAAACTGATGTTTGCTACATCAGAGCACAAGATTAAGTTTACCTTCATTATGCTGAAACATCAGATGGGTTACAATGTATCATCATGATCTCTTAAGACCTTAACAAGTTCGGTGAAAAAAAAATCATACTATTTGGGAAAACTGCTTACGAGTAAAAGGGGTAAATTGGGGGAAGAAAGAAGATAATGGTTCTCTGTTTGTACAGTGTATAGAAGTGTGTTCTCATTTTCTCGTATAAAAAGAGGAGGAACCCCAATGTGACTTTTTTGCCATTTGGCTTGATTTTAAGCACTCACTGTCTACGTTTATAATCTGACCACAATAGTCATGTGCTAGTATGTTTATAAATAAGTAAAATTTGCTGCTGTAGGAACTAAGCAAAGACCTACGAAAATGACTCTTCATAACCCCAGTGTGTGCTTTGGAAAAGGATGTGGGGTGAATTTGCTTTGTAACTGTGTGAGTGTTCATTAGCTGAAAGCCTGAGTCATGAGTTTTGACTTGGTGATGCTCAGGTTATTTCATTCTTGTGGGATGCTAAGAAAGGGATCTCTGTGGACTATTTCTAACCTTGATCACCATTCTTGCTGTAATTACATAACATAGAAATGGCATAGAAAGTGAACTTACTTTAACCTGATGTTTGTGGTAGCTTGATTTATGTGCTTATACACATCCTTTACTTGCTCTGCGTGGGAATAAGGCTTCATATGAATGTCTGATCTCTTCTTATTGCTTGAACAGCTTCTCATACATCCTGATATGCTAATTCTAAATTTGCAATGTAGTTTGGGTTTGTTTTCAGTACCAACACTTTTATCATTTTATAGAAATTCAAGCATAGCAGACCTGGCACCGAAGACTAACTAGTGATAAATAGCCAGAAGGGGTATTTGGGAAGCCTATTTTTGTCTTGTTTTGTTATCAGTTTAGCTGATCAGAGATGCTGATAGGAAGACATACAGACTACTACTATGTTTTGAATCTGACAAATAATATCCCTAAGTTTAAAATTGAATCAAAGAATCGCTGAGGCTGGAAGGATCCTCTGGAGATCATATAGTCCAGCCCTCTGTTCAAAACAGGGTCACCTAAAGCAGGTTGCTCATAGCCAATTTTGAATATATCCAAGGATGGAGACTTCACAGCCTCTTTAGGCAACCTGTTTGCTCAATACCACAATGATTTAAGAACATTGCTAGCAGTTAGATTTCTTTTCAGTATGCATGGTTATTATTGATACTTTTAGGTGGGTACCTGGTAACAAACAGTAGGCTTTTTGTGTCCAGCAAGTATATTATTTATTGATTTGTCGTTAAAATTGCAAATTTAAACCTGAAAGACTAATCACAGTAACCGTTGGTAGCACATTGCATCGTTTAGGAGTGTACTCTCTTGTTTGAGTTTAGGGAAATTCAGGATTGAGATAGTTGGCATTAATGCTTGGACTGGAAAAGGAGTGACTTGAACAGCCATGTGCAGAAATTTCAGAGCATCTGCAACTACCCAGGTGCTCCAAAGATTATATTATCAGGACCTATATGAGGAAAGGTCATAAAGCATGTCATTCTGGACAGTTTGGGCTAAAAAAGGATATATTTATATATAACGGACAAGAAACGTGATGCATTGATGTTAAAGTCAAAGAGGAACTTTTGTAAGAAAACTTTACCTTCAGGTTCTGACAGAATGTTTTTAGACCAAAAATTCTTACATTTATTTGTGGGTGCTGAGTTGTTTATTTCTGTAGTGTGCCCCTGGAGTCTCTTGGAGCTCCTAGTTTGTTTTCCTTTAAAAACTTGAAATGGTCAACAGCTTTGGTATGTTCAAATGAAATGGATTTTGAGAGAGAGTTTATGTAAGAAGATCTCGAAGTATTTGGAAATTCCGTGAATAACTGCTAGTTTTTGAAGCGGGTACTCTGTAAGTGTGAAATTCAGGACTTTAAGACAATAAATACAGCTGCATTTAAGTCTAACTGATTGCATACATATGTAAAAGCAGATTTGAATTTCATATTACACATTGATACAAACACAGGATATGCATTTATTTAATGATGAAATCATTTCAGTAAATGAAGGTATTGGACGTCTAATTTATTCAGCTATTAGTTCCAATCTCCTGACTCCCACTCAGACTTTCTCAGTTGCTCAGCTTTGCACCACCAGCTGTCTTGTTGAAACTTCATTGTGGGTGTCCTGCTCCAATCTGTAGTGAAGTGCAACGAAAATCGCATCTGACTTTATTACTGAACAGTTGGAGCAAAGTAATAGAACATGCTCTGGCACGTACAAAAATTTGATTTATTTCAGCTGCAAAGGTTCCCAGTTGAGTTATTCTCAAACTTTCCTTCCAGTTTCCCTTTCCTTTCAATATTTAGATTAAAAGTTTCTGATTCCTCCTTTATGATAGTTTACACATTTCTTCCTGTCTAGCATGAAAACCATAGTTTTTGTCTTAGCTGCTGGTTTTCTTGATTACGGTGCAAGTTTTTTCTTTTGGCTTCTCTTGTTATTGACCAAAAGCCTTTGTCTCTTACCCATGCACTTACTGACTATATCTTCACCTCTTATTGTTATACTTCGGCTTTTCCTGCTGTTCTTTTTGCCAAGTTTCATGATTCTGTAATCCTGTGTTGTGCCTTTACCATGCCCTTTTATAGCCGCTATTTTTATTGCTTATGTTAAAACAGACTACGGATCGGAAAGCAATAATTTCAAATTGGATGTGGGGAGAGTGAAAGGCCTTTATTTAGAAAAGAATTTATATTGCATTTGTTCTTTAACACTTTCCCCTGTACAGCTGCTTGAACTACCTTCTTAAGATAGTCTTCTTACAAGTTTCTTACAGGATAGTTCAGTCTTCATAACTAAGAGTGAATTACTTTTCCAATACAGATCTTTCTAAATTTCTATATTCTTTATTTCTAGCTGATTCTGGAAAGAATATAGCAGGCTTTACAAACTGGCTCAGGAAGTAGATTGAATGCATTGTAAAACCTTTATAAAAAGTACTGTTTTTTTAAAATTTTTATTCATTCTTTTCATTTAAACCTCTATTTAAAATGCATCAATACATGCACTCTCTCTGTTTTAACTCACTAGAGAGAACTGTGTAACTAAGAGCAGAAAGTGATACCTGTATTGCCACAGGGTCAGACCCCTTGAACTATTTCTCTGAACCATCTGACAATGCGGTCCCCTTAGGGAAAAGGGTAGTTCGTATCTTGGTTTTGTACAGCAGTCTAGAGAGAAAACACACCATACATAACGTGTTCAGTAACATATGTCTCTCTAATCTGTCTAGGTATTCACACTCCACTCATCACCATGGCACATGACTGCCTAGCAACAGTTGCATAAAGTAATGGAAAAAATTAAATAAACAGGTTTGATGACTGGTACTCTATTCCATTGTCCTTTCATGTGCATCAGAACCTTGTAGCAGGTGTGTATTTATTTTATTACATGGTGATTTATTTTTCTCATTTTTTAAAAATTTTATTTTGCCAAAACCACTCCCATGAGCCATTAGCAACAGAAACCAGCACTTCCCAAAAAAAGATTCAGCCCTCTAAAACATTTGCATAGGAGTAGGCTTTCTGAAAATGAGCAAAGACATCTGAGGGACTATCCATGTTCAACACATGTATAGTTTTTGATAAAGCTAGACAAAAAGTATGAACTACTGTAGTTAAATCTAAACGACCAGTGCATATGCTCGATAGTTGGAGTAAATTTTCATCCCTGTGAACTAGTTATTGGAAGATGCATATGACACGGACTCAGCAAGGGTTTAAAGTGTAACAATATATCATTACATTCTTTATGATGGACATCTGTAAAGTTGATGATCAAGTGGCGTGGTAAAGCTGTTCATGTTGGACACTTGGTTGTATGTGAGCTCTGCTCCATGAGCCCACCCTTGATGAGAATGTGTGCATATGTGAATGCCTGTCTTCTAGGTAGTTTTTAGGAGGGATTATTTTTCATGCATTTTATCTACGTTAATCCGTATTTCATCCACTGTTTCAGTATGCTTTTGGGAGACGGTTTAAAATTAGTCTTGGAGCCAGGTATAATTTTTTACTTAGATACTTGCTGAAAATTACACATTCAGATAATGTGAAACTGTGTATATTGATGTAGGATTTGTTTACTTGCCAAGAGCTCTTCTGGATAGAGGCAAAGTGAGTTCTAAAATATATTTTATTGGTTCTGACTGTTTTTGAAACAACATGTCTGTATCAAAGTTGAATTAATCCTAATGGAAAAAAGAGGAGGGGGACAAAAAAAGGTTGAGTCTCCCAACGTGGAGTGTATAATTTCAGATCAAGTAGAACATTTTACTGGATTTACACCTTTATTTTTCAATTCAACAGGAAAAATAATTTTTTTAACCCACTCTGAAAATATTTTGGTTTTTTTGTTGTTGTTGGAATTTGGGGGGGGGGGGGGTCTCTTTTTTTTTTTTTTTTTTTTTCCCTTTCTTTTTTTTTTTTTTTTTTTTCCCCTGCTTTTGGTAGAGCTAGGAATTTTCTGTGTCAGTTGCTTTAGATACTACAGCCTTGATTTTTTTGCTCTTTCTTTCTGCTTTCATTTTTATGTACAACCATATCACAACCTTTGGTGATTTAACAGCATCATGATTTAGTTCAAATCTTCATAATGATTTTTGGTATTTGTATTTGTTTTTATTAATGTCCTGCACCTCCAAGTATCCTAAACAGTAGCAAATACTTGGGCATGAAGTATTTTCAGTAACTAAAGAGAATTTAAGCAGTCAGAAATGCATTAATTTTCTTCAGTTATTATCATTATTATTAGCTTATACAGGGAAAGGAATATAGAATAATTTAAAATACTATTCATATAAGGAAGATGACTATAATTCTTGTGGTGAATCCAGATAAGTTTTGCTTATACTTACAATAAAATTAATAGAAACGACTCTATTAAATCTTTGTTGATTACGTGACAGTAAA